ATAAATATGTAAATCCCGGGTCTATTCTAGGAATGTCTAACATAAAGATAAATATTCTATTAGTATTTCCATTGTTGACCGATTGAATTTGTATTATTTCGAAAAGGAATAAAGGTTTTGAAAGTCTATTATTAATACTCATTAATACTCATTAATTTTCATAACGGATTAGTACATAGTCATTACAGTTACAAGTCATTCTTATATTTGGTACGTTTCCGATAGGTTTATGCTAATTTTGATTGATCAAGCGTCAATGAACATTACGTAATCTGTTGGCACTCGGCTTCCAGTTATTAACCAATCACATGAATGTCTTCCTATAATCTTGAAGGTTGATTATCGAATCAATTGAAACACATAATACGAAACTTTACTTTAATGCATAATATTGTCATTTTCGGAGGCTCTTCACACCCAGACTTAGCGAATAACATTGCTTCACGTTTGGGGTTACCGCTTGGGCGTGTAACGCTTTCAAAATTTTCTAACAAAGAGACAAACGTAGAAATCCGCGAGAGTGTTAGAGAACAAGATGTTTACATTATACAATCTGGCTGCGGACATGTCAACGACAACTTCATGGAGCTTCTGATCATGATTTCAGCGTGCAAAATTGCTTCAGCTGCAAAGGTTACTGCAGTGATACCTTGTTTTCCATATGCAAGACAACCTGATGCTCCCTTTAAAAAAGATGGTACACCTTTGTCACGGCTTCCGAGAGACGCTTTTAGGGGTTATACATCTGGTGATAGTTCTACATCAATAACCCCTTGCACAGAAATAAAGGATCCGTTAGATAGAATCGAACAAAATTCAGACTCAAATTGCACTGATTCGTCACGATCTGGCAATGTAATTCGTAGCATTGGGGGTTATAAACATTGGATTGCTCGTTCAGGGACTCTCATCGCTAATCTTCTAATGTGTGCAGGTTATTATCTGTCATTTCCGTGAATTATCACAAGCAATATATTTTCCTAGCGTTGAACTATTGCATACCAATTTTTCAGGTGCAGACCACATAATGACAATGGATCTTCATGATCCTCAATTTCAAGGTTTCTTTGACATCCCTGTTGATAATCTTTACGGACAACCTTTGATGATCAAGTGCATAAAGCAGAACATTCTAAATTGGGAGGAAGCGGTAATTGTTTCCCCAGACGCAGGTGGAGCCAAAAGGTAAGGCAAAAAAAAGTAAGGTTGTGAAGGTTACCAAAAATCTAAGTTGTTTAATGGTTTTTATCGGTAACTTACTAATTTAACATACATGAGTAAAAGCATTAAATTCTATAAATATTTTTATATTATTTAGAGCAACAGCAATCGCAGAGAGGCTTCGGGTGGACTTTGCTCTTATTCATAAAGAGCGCCGATCTCAAAATAAACCTCATAAGACTGATATGATGCTTGTTGGTGATGTTAATGGTAAAGTCTGCATTCTTATAGATGATATTGCAGATACTTCTTATACAATTACCAAGGCAGCCAAGATTCTTTATGAAAATGGTGCTCAAAAGATTTATGCTATTATTACACATGCAATCATGAGCGGCGATGCCATTCAACGAATTCAAGAAAGCAATATCGATCAAATTTTCGTGAGTGACAGTGTTCCACAAGATGAGCATTTGGCACAATGCCCTAAAATGAATATGTTCAATGTCGCCCCTATGTTCGCTGAAGCTATTAGGAGAACACATAATGGTGAAAGTGTTAGCGCGTTGTTTGAGATTATGAATTGATATGGTTTATAATATTGCTTTAAGGTTAATTATTATGTCCTTTGACAATATGACACACGTATTTCAAATGTGCTAATGAATAGGATTGGTAGAATATGAATAACCTAGAAATTTTAATAATTTATTGTTACTATTGATTCAAAACTGACTAAAATACATTATAAAATCGAATATAAATGATACGCCTTTAACTTAATAATTTTTTGGGGTTTTTTGTATGCTCGACATTTAATATTTTAAAAAGAAAGTTAAATTGCCAACAATACATAATATAGTCTCGTTGGTGTAGTTGGTTATCACGTCTGTCTAACACACAGACGGTCGGCGGTTCGAATCCGCCACGAGACAATAAAAAAAATTTATTTTTATTTTTGGTTGTCATTTGAATCCACATGACTTTATTTATCATTGTAGCCTTGTATACAAATTTCTTCTGAAAACTAATCAACATGCATTAATATTTAATAATATATCAATTATTTTTTATCTATATTAAAATTTGTCTCGAGAAAAATACGTCAGATACTACTATATACTATGGAGTGATCAAATCCATGCGATCTCAAGTGTTCAGGTATTATCGAAATAAGCAAGAATGCAAATAATGCACGATATAATGTTAGAATAGTAAAATATACATTACATGAAAACCGGATGATGATCTTACACAGAATTTTTTTCTTACGCAGATGATTACATCACTAGTGTCTTGCCTGCAAGTCTCGTACATATGAAAGATAAATGGAGAATGAAATGGTTTTAAAAATTCTCGTTAATCATACTTGAGAAAATTGTACTAAAGCCATCTTCACTTTTTCACGAACATCTAAATTGTCATCGTTCGCCATATTTTTCACTATATCCTCAAAACCGAACTGACGTAACTCTCGAACGCGTAATTGAGAACCTATTCCGTAGATAACCAAAAATTAATAATACAGGTAGCATTGTATCACTTAATAAAAGAGAATGTCTTACTACTATGTTTATCCTCCATCCATGTCAAATTTATAAGACACCACACTGCAGCAACACGAATATCAGGATTTTGGTGGCCCATATAGTTCTTAATGTGCGACAAAATATTAGTCCTTGACATAATAGTTTTTTTATGGTATTCATTACCAGTTGCAATGTTGTTGATGACAAATAGAATCTTTCAAAGGAATGAAAATATTTTAATGCGCCGCATCAGTAATGTTTATATCAAATTTGAATACAGTCTGCCCTCCGTACAGTCACTCCATATAGTCACACCCTCTTATAAGCACACTAATTTTTAAATCAAACGTATATAAAACATAAGAAATTTGACCTCAATTTCTTATAAGCACAGAATTTCTTGGAACCGAGGGCGTGAATGTAGAGAGGTTTGACTGTAATTAAATTACCTGTTTAATTATTTCGTCACTCCAAGAACAAAGTTTACTTTCTATGATGTTCATCAATCGACTTTCAGTTAATCCTTTAAATACTTCCTCGATATCCTAAGTAAAAAACATTAGTGCATTATTTATAATTAAGTAAATGCTAATTTAAAATTTAAGAAATTCATACTTCTGGTTTTGGACAAGCTAGGTTTCTTAACAAATTCAATGCTTTTTCCTGCACGTCAAGTTCAGGGTCTTCAATCAATCTGTGAAACATATGTAATATATCAGCTGTCAAATTCTTATTACAATTTACTTAAAACCTCTACTTACTTTTCCATGGTTATATATGTCAAAACTTCCATCACTCTGTATTTAACCTCAGACTCAGCATGATAGACTAAATTCTTCAATGCCCATATAGCATTAAGCCTTAGTGTATTATCTGGAGAATGTACCAATTTAACTAATTTTTCTATCCCTCCTTGTTCCATAATTTGCTATTATATTGAAATTAAATGCATTCAATATAATAAGTCAAGCAAAGTGATAAAAGCATGCTTATTTAAATACCTTTCTCATGGGTGAAAATTCCAGTACTATATTACAAAGAGTAGCACACGCCATGGTTTGTACATCGGTCGACTCGTCAGATAATAACTATATTTTATAAGCAACCGTTAGTTATCAACTTTATATAAAACATGCTCATAATTAATTGCAATATTACAATACTTTAAATAAAGGCGTTGCGATTCCTGCATCTACAAGGTTGGTGCGTAATATATGAACAGATCTAGAGAGACTTCGGGTGCATTGACACGCAGCAGCACGGACTCCGTAAGAACGATGTGACATTGCTGCAACGATATGAGGGATTATTTTGGCATCAACAACCTTTAAATAAAAGAACATTGTAATCAAGCAGACACCTTGTAAATTTAATTATAATTAGCACCAAATAATGTCTTACCAGCTTTCGACCTTCATCAGTTAGAGAACTTATAGCCGCAAGAGCCATTAAAGCATTCTAATTTTTAATGTTAATTTTAAACTAATTCAATACACAAATAATTTCTTATTTAAAGAACGATATATACCTCCTTCAGTTTATCACCATCACCCAGAGGATCATAATATGAACTATTCTGATCACCAACATGGGTAACAAAATCTGCCAATTTCGGCACGGCTTCTGAATCACAAGCGGCCTTTTGTAATTCTTCATTATCACGAATCAAATAAGCTAATAAATAGCAAATTCAGACAATGAACATCATGAGAGACGAAATGTTGCAGATATATAATATAGAAAATAAAATACCTAAAACATGCGGTGCTTCCTCTCGGACAGGACCTTTTTCGTCAAGTAATTTGACTAATGTTGGCAATACGGCCAATGTAATATCATTAAAGTATTCGTCGATCGCTTTCGCACGACACAGATGTGTTAAGCTTCAAAAATGAAATTATAATCGCTGGATTTAATTTACGTGGAGCTTTATGGCATAACGACATTGAAATTAACGCGTACCATTTAGCCGATATTAGTCGCATTGTTGGTGATTTATCGCGAATCAAATTTAACATGATTTTGACCGGACTCTCATTTGTTTCAGCTATAAAAAAACATGTTACTAATTTGAATAACGCATAAAATATTCAAATTATTCTTACATACATTTTGTCTTAACGATTTCCTTGCCGAAGTCAGAGTTTTCACGACAAAGGTACGCAAGCGCATCCAAAGCAGCTTCTTGAGCTTTAGAGAACCCACAAGTTAATAAATTGACCAATTTAGGAAAGGCACCCGCTTGTGCAATCTGGATCTGCTGTTCGTTGGTATCACAACAACGTG